GACAGTACCTGCAAAGTACCTTACAAATCGATCATCGTATTGGAAATACGATTGATTGTATATCCGTTCGTAACGTGATTCGATAATCTATATCTTTCGCGATGTTGAGTCGATGAATTGTGTATGTTGATTTATGGCTTTTTTCGTTACGAGATATCGAACGCTTGATTCACGATGATCTGAGCATTGCGTCAAACGAACAACGCTCGCTGAAATTGCCGATGAAAAGGAATTGCGCGGTAGTGCGAAACTCGAGCTATTGTATCGTCAACTGTGACGGAGCAAACCGAAAAAGTCGGGCAGGGAGCGGTTGTAACATCGGTCTGTGATGACAAAAGTTAATCAACGAAAGAAATCTACGACTTCCTATGAGGAATCACAACTACTACTAAGAGGCAACATAAGGTGCGAGTCTAACGATAGATTCGATGCAAACGTCTCGAGATAAATGCCGACATCGAAATGGTGACTGTGGTAAACTGGCGTGGTCGTCTCGTTTGCACATTTTTCTATAATTTTCTCCTCGGTATCGTAGCTTTGATTATGTATATGTTGATTGCGTATGGTAACACTGAAAATTTCGATCGCGACATGGAAAATACACACGACGGTGTCGCTACGAACGATACTCTCGTGCGTGCCCCTAATGCTGCTCGGAGTGAAATGAGCGACACTGACAGGGGCAAAAAACAAAGCAAGGAGTTGGAGGGTGCCCCTGCTTCGCGTCACAGTTTCGTGGCTACCGGTTTGGACGAACGTGAAGGTGTGAACAACCGTATGGATACAAACGCGCATGGCGACGAGAGCACAAATTCTTAAGCGCAGGATGAAAAGTTAATTCTAGCGCTGAGAAAAGCGCAGAGTGATGCGATGAGAATTGCGCCAATTAGAGTGGGAAGGCGACTGTAGATTTCAGCGGCAAAGTGTACGACAACATTAGCGATGTAAATAGCGATACTGTTCTGAATGCTGACATTGTGTCACTCCACGCAGCAAATGTAAAGTTGGTTGAGGCCACAATGATGATGATAGAAATATTAGATAATGTTTTAGCCATAGCGAAGCTCGTAATGAGCCAACTAGAATCATTTTGAACGTGTTTTACGGACGAGATGAGATACTTTTGTAACACAATATAGTCAAAGTCGAATATGTTATTCCGCTCGTATTTCAATATCTCTTCACATAAAACGAGAGCGACAGACGTAATGAAAATATCGACGACCTAGACTTGATGATTGCGAAGAAGTAGCCAAAAATTACAGCGAAACACAAATAGGCGCATGTGTTCAGACAAAACTTGGCAAGACCAGAGACAGTTAATGCCAAAATTAAAGCATACGTGCGACCCCCCCGATCCCTTCGCACGAAACGACTTTTCCACCAACATCTCTTTTACATGTACAGATTAGCGGCCTGCCGTTCCCTCTCTCACTCTGCGCCGAATCGGAACACTCGCATCTCCTCTATCATAGAACAGTCAAGAAGTACAATAGAGTCAGGGATTACTGCTCCGTACTCCGGTATTTGCGCTAACATATATAGAATGGACAATTTTTTGCGCTGTCGACCGGCTCGAATCGATAGAACAAAACGTGAGCGACCGCGATGCGAAAATACGAGGGTGGTCCGATAAGTACTTAGCCTATAAAAGAAAAACGAAAATTTTGGAAAAGTGGCGATTTATTTCTCAATATAGTCTCCTTTTAGCTCGATACACTTGACCCAGCGATGCTCCAACTTCTTTAACCCGTCTGAAAAATACGTTTTCTCGAGATCTGCAAAGTAGGCCTCCGTGGCGGCGATGACCTCCTCATTCGACTCAAATTTCTGCCCGGCGAGTGACTTTTTCAAGTTTGGAAACAAAAAGAAGTCGCACGGGGCCAAATCTGGAGAATACGGTGGATGGGGCAGCAGTTCGTAGCGCAATTCGACCAATTTGACCGTGGCGAAGGCGGAGGTGTGAGCCAGTGCGTTGTCATGGTGGAAGAGCACTTTTTTCTTCGCCAAATGGGGCCGTTTTTTCTGCAATTCGTCGAATCGGCCAAATAATTCGGCATAGTACAGCCCTTGACCGTTTTGCCCTTTTCCAGGTGGTCGATGTAGATCACACCTTGTGAATCCCAGAAAACGGTGGCCATCACCTTTCCGGCTGATAGGACAGTCTTCGCCTTCTTCGGTGCACGTTCGCCGGGTGAAGTCCACTGTTTCGACTGTTCCTTGGTCTCTGGTGTGTACCAGTGGATCCATGTGTTGACGGCCACGAAACGACGCAAAAACTCCTTCAGATTGCGCTTAAACAGCGTCAAACACTGCTCTGAAGTGGTCTCACGGTTGCGCTTATTGTCCGGAGTGAGCAAACGCGGCACCCATCGCGCCGACAGCTTTCTCATGCCCAAAATTTCATGCAGGATATGACCCACGCGGTCTTTTGAGATGCCTACTGTCTCAGCTATCTCGCGCACCTTCAATCGGCGGTCTGCCAATACGAGATCGTGGATATTTGTCATGTTATCCTCCGTGGTAGCCGTTTTCGGGGCACCTGGGCGTGGCTTATCAAAAACTGACGTGCGACCACGTTGAAACTCGTTAAACCAATTTTTGACGGTCGCTATCGAAGGAGAAGAGTCACCGTACACAGCATCCAAGCGCTCTTTGATTTCGCTGCGCGATTTCCCTTCCAAAAACAAGAATCGAATCACCGACCGATATTGCTCTTTTTCCATTTTTCTAAAATTCGCGGACACGCCCGCTTCCACACGCGGTCAAAACAAAACTACGAGTCCGATTCGGTTGAAATTTCGACAGTAGCCGTCTACGAGAATGTATTACACGATAGTAAATTTCTCTTGCGATAGTGGCGCCATCGGGCGGTGAGGCTAAGTACTTATCGGACCGCCTTCGTATATACCGGGACTGCCTACAATATGAGGCAGTTTTGAAGTCACGCTTTTCGTTATGGCCACGAGTGAATAAGTTGAGAGAGAGAGAGAGAGAGAGAGAGAGAGAGAGAGAGAGAGAGAGAGAATATGCGCAACATGTCTTTGCAAGTTACGAATGAATGTAAAAAGGGGCCTAAGGAGGTTCATCGTTGGCGATATCAGCAGGCTATACGTGCACGTCGTCTCGTCCCAGGACGATGCCGTCGAATCGAATACGAACGGCAATCCATCGAGAAACCACTGCGTGAGTTGCGAATCATGTATGCGATAGGACGTGATTTCGACAGAGAACTGTTGATGCGTTCGTTATTCGTGGAAGAGACATTGCGCTATCGCGATAGGCAGTATTCAGACCAAGTTGGACAACTGTCTTACAAATGCGCGGAGCCTGCTAGCCAGTGTCTGGGAGGAACCGGATGCCTAATTGGCACGTTGTCCACCGGAATCGATCACGAATACGTTCTCCAATGCGTCTCCTTGTACTTTTCATATTTTTATGACATCGAAAAAGTCTATCGCGTGTCGGATGTAGCGTTACGTCGCGCAGATTACTCGTCAGCGGAATATCGAAATGCGCGACTGTTCGGCGCTTGGTTAGATGTGAATACGCGAAAACTTTATATCGTGTGCGATCCGACCGATGTAGAGCGTGGCGTTCTGTTGGCCGAAGGTATCCGAGACGATCAGATAGCTGTAAATGATGAACCTGCAAAGTCGCTACATGATCGATCATCGTATTGGAATGATAATCTATATTCGTCGCAATGTGATCGACGAGTGGCATCGATTATGGCTTTCATTATGAGTATCGAACGCTTGATTCACGATGATCTGAAGCATTCGTCAAACGAACAAACGCTCGCTGAAATGATATTCGCCGATGAAAAGGAATTGCGCGGTAGGTGCGAAACTCGAGCTATTATATCGTCAACTGTGACGGAGCAAACGAAAAGTCGCAGAAACGTTGTAACGTCGTCTTTGGTGACAAGAGATTTATCAACGGAAGAAACCTACGACTTCCTATGAGGAGTCGCGATTACTAAGATTAGATGGTGTTTGTGTACAGCAGAAGGTGCGAGTCGAACAATGGATTCTATGCAAACGTCTCGAGATGAACGCGGCCATTTAAATGGCGACCATGGTCAACTGGTGTGGTCGTCTCGTTTAACCATTCTTTCTATAATTTTGCTTCTCGTCGTAGCTTTGATTGTACATATGTGGATTGCGCATGATAACTCGGTTCACGATCAAATTCGTACGTACGTCAAGCAACTGTCTAACATGAACTCACGTTTCGTAAATTGGGTACGTTTTTGGAAGGACAGTGAATACGCGCAGCATTATGAGAACGCTGAAAATTCCGGTCGCAACACGAAAAATGCGCACGACAGTATCGCTCCGAACGAGCAAGGTGGTGTGAGCAATTGTACTGATACTAATATGCATAGTGGTGCAACAGACAGCATGAACAACGAAAACGATGAAATTTCTCGCGCGAGCGCAGATTTCAGCGGAAACAAGAGCGAAGATTTCAGCGGCGACAAGAGCGCAGATCTCAATGGCGACAAGGGAACAGATTTCAACGGCGACATGAGCACAGATCTCAGTGGCGACGAGAGCTACGTGAGTGACGAAACTTCCCGCATGGACGCGAGCGTAGATTTCAACGGTGACAAGAGCCGTGTAAACAACGAAATTTCCCGCATGGACGCGAGCGTAGGTTTCAGCGGCGACAAGAGCGAAGATTTCAACGGTGACAAGAGCCGTGTAAACAACGAAACTTCCCGCATGGATGCAAGCGTAGATTTCAGCGGCGACAAGAGCGAAGATTTCAACGGCGACAAGAGCCGTGCAAACAACGAAACTTCCCGCATGGACGCGAGCGTAGATTTCAGCGGCGACAAGAGAGAAGATTTCAACGGCGACAAGAGCCATGTAACCGACGAAACTGCTCGCATTGACGCGAGTGCAGATTTTAGCGGAGACAAGAGCGAAGATTTCAGCGGTGATAAGAGCTATGTAAACGACGAAACTGCTCGCATTGACGCGAGTGCAGATTTCAGCGGAAACAAGAGCGAAGATTTCAGCAGCGATAAGAGCTATGTAAACGACGAAACTGCTCGCATTGACGCAAATGCGGATTTCAGTGGAGACAAGAGCGAAGATTTCAGCGGCAATAAAAGCGAAAATTTCAGCGGCGACAAAAATGTAAACGACGAAACTGCTCGCATTGACGCGAGTGCAGATTTCAGCGGAGACAAGAGCGAAGATTTCAGCGGCGACAAGAGCTATGTAAACGACGAAACTGCTCGCATTGACGCGAGTGCAGATTTCAGCGGAGACAAGAGCGAAAATTTCAGCGGCGACAAGAGCTATGTAAACTACGAAAATGCTCGCATTGACGCGAGTGCAGTTTTCAACGGAGACAAGAGCGAAGATTTCAGCGGCGGCAAGAGTGCAGATTTCAACAGCGACATGAGCACAGATCTCGGCGACGATAAGAGCTATGTAAATAACGAAACTCCTCGCATCGATACAAGCGCAGATTTCAGCGGCGGCAAGAGCGCAGATCTCAATGGCGATATGAGCGCAGATCTCAGCGACGATAAGGGCTATGTAAATAACGAAACTCCTCGCATTGATGCGCATTGAGCGCAGTTTTCAGTAGCGGCAAGAGCGCAGATTTGCGTGATAGTGATAAAGTTTCGGACGACATCGCTTCGGAAATTCTTCCAATTGTATTGGAAATGCCTATTCATTAAGCAGAAATGTAGAAGATGGACGACGCAGGAGATCACGACCAGGCACATCGTCGTCTGGATTGAATAGTGTTAAGAGAAAACGTAGAGATATCAAAAGTAATCGTTTTATTGGTTAACATGGTACATTGGATTTTTATTTATTTTTATTCGAGACGTATAATATAGCAAAGAAGCTTTCGTTGTCCAGCTCGTTCGATTACATCAGGCGAAGCATTAGGTAGCTGCGATATCACGCTTACATCACAGTCCAATGAAACTCGATGATTGCAAAGAACTGAGCGTGCGACGCTGTTCAAAAAGCGTCCAATAACTTCGGCCTCCTATTCGCAAGGGAGAAAATAATCATAAGCGTTGCCTGTCCAATATAGTTTGTCCAGTATGATTGTACAATATGACCAAGTTAGTGGCCATTAGTAGCAGTGATAACGTAAGTTCTATTTTTCTCTTAATTTACAGCGTACCTGTAATCTGTAATAAAAAGGTGTACAATAAAATACGATTGAAAAAAAAACCGCAATTAAATTGTTACCGAGCAACTCAATGCTATGGTAAGTTCACGATGTAGTCAATCTGTCAAATCGACACTATTGTGTAGAACAGTAGGCTCAACCGTAGAACTGTGCTTCAGATATCATTTACGATCAGGATGATTGTCGTCCGACAGTATACCATTGATGCGTGCGTAGTTGATAGACATCATTGACGGGTAGCCGGAACGCATTGTTCATTTGTAACTTGGCTTGTCTCGACGTATCTCTCTGAACGTGGCGAACGATAAAACAATTAATTAAGCGCTGATAAATGATCGAGAAACACTGTGTTAAATCGAAAAATGTTTCAGACAAAAGTTGCACGATTTAAAGGAGCACATAGGACAGTGATATCGTTTTGTTTATAGATGGCGCCACTTTTAAGATATTTACTGATTGTTACTTTTCTTCAATGGAAATCTCAACTTTTTATTATATTATCTTATTTTGTCACTTAATTTGAAAAACTTTCATTCGAAACATTTTTTATTTGCCTAATATTTTGTTAAATATTTAAGGAAAACTCTTTCATCATTTAACTTATGATATATCGCTAACTATTTGTCGGAAGAAAAAGTGGTATTAGACTTTTTTATTCCATTTGGTCCCTAGAATATATTGCTACAATAGTACCATAATTTTTTATTAACTTGTCGACCTTTGAAAATTTCTATATCGTCAAATTAACAAAAAATTAAGGCACTATTCTAGCAATATATTCTAGAGATTAAATAGAATAAAAAAGTCTAATGACTTTTTCTTCCGACAAATAGTTAGCAAGATATTATAAGTTAAATATTGAAAAGTTTTTCTTAAATATCTAAAAAAATATTAGGCAAATAGAAAAATGTTTCAGACGAAAGTTGTTAAAATTTGTTCGTAGAAAAAGACGACATAATAAAAAATTGGAATTTCCATTTATAAAAATAATGATCAGTGAATATCTCGAAAGTGACGTCATCTGTAAACAAAATGATATATATTTTACATGTCCCCTTTGAAATTGTACAACTTTTGTCTGAAACATTTTTTCTAAAATGTTGCGTTTACAAAAAAACGTGGAAGAGTGATGCGGATGGCAGCGTAGGCCGGCCATTTATACGGGAGCGCAGGGCGGCCATTTATACGGGGGCACAGGGCGGCCATTTATACGGCAACGTGAAGCTGAAGAAGTTATCAAGTTTTCCTTAAATATCTAAAAAAATATTAGGCAAATAGAAAAATGTTTCAAACGAAAGTTGTTAAAATTTATTCCATTTAAAGAAATAATCAGTGAACATCTCGAAAGTAGCGTCATCTGTAAACAAAATGATATATTTTTTATATGTCCTCTTTGAAATTATACAACTTTTGTCTGAAACATTTTTTCCTAAAATGTCGCGTTTACAAAAAAATCAAGTGATACCGGTGGTCTGTGACGTATATTTACAGCACATCTTGCATAAAAAGAGAACACCTTCAACTATTAAATCGAAAATAATTCTATCAAATCGGAAATCTAAACTGTCTCCAGCTAATGTAGTTAATACACGAGTTTGCAATAGCTTCAAAGTTTACGCAAAGGCTTCCCGGGCCATTCGATTATCGGATGATAGATGCTCGGAGTATAAAACACGTTCCCCGGATTTTAGACGAAAACTAACGATTGCGTTATGTTCAGCAGGTCCAAATCCTCTGGGAATGATACGTTTTGTCCGTTTTCCACGATAAGCCGAGACCGACCCAATTTACCCATTCTTTTCACAAGTTCTTTTCAGAGATTGATATTTTAACAAAGATTAGGGTACTATTGTAGCAATAAAAATGTTTTCTGTTTCTGAAAATATATTAGTTAGCTTGAAATAACTTATTACAAGCCGACCGCAATGTTTTTGCAAATTTACTATATTTCTTTTATGAATTTTTATCGTTTGTCATTTTGCAATAATTTTAAATGTATCAACATGTTCCATGTATCAACCATCCTCGGTTTCTCCTACCTTTTCCGCCCGACGCCAGGCAATTGATTCTGCGTGCGCAAATGCATACGTCCCATTTCTGGAACGTTGTTGATGATGCTGTTGCAACCTGAAAAAAAGAAGCGAGGGTGGCGGGGGGGAAGAAATAAAGGTATTCATTATAAAATATCTATTATGGTTTATTTTTTTACAATTGTGCAGCGAGTACGTATTACATGTCAAATATGCGGCGTCAAATATGAATTACAAATTTAGAAAAAGAATGTGTTGCACTCGCTCATTCTCGAAACATTACATTCATGCTTTGCAACCGCGTTCGCGAAAGTAGATCCGTTGTAATTTGAAAACTCAAAATTTATAGCGATCCGTATGTTACGTTTTCGATTTAAATACGATTTTCGCTGTGCTTGTCGTGTTTCTTCACCTTCTAATTCGTGTGTAGCATTTGTTATTTGATAAAAATCTTTTAGGTTAGAATTAAACAATGATACAATGCGCTCACTGTTCATATCGCAATTCGACGTTTCTGGAGCAGTAAACGTATCACATCCCTGAAACGATTTTTCTTGTTGCTGCTGTTCCACAAGCGCCGCCACTTTCCGCTTTGAAGAAGGGAGTGTCTCGTACAATACTTTCTTTATTGTCTTTTCATTATGCCTAGCGTATATTGTACCGCACCGCACTGGATAACGATCGGGCGACCTGAGCGTTACGTCGTAAAATAAAGAGCCGTCAGATTTACGCGCTAAGCTAAGTATTCCTAGGTTTGCCGAAAAACTAGGTGTGACAAGTACGCAGAAACCGTCATTGCGAACACAAAGTACAGTATATTTTCGACTCGCATAAAACCGCTGGTCGCGCAACATTTTAATCGGCTTTACGGTCCAATGGCAAATGTTGAAATGTAGCGTTTGGACAATTTTTTGAATCATCGCAACAACGTCTACGGACAAATGATTTGGTTTTTTTAACAACGCGGCAGTGCGAGTTATTCCGCATGACACAATCGTGAAGGCAAATGGCAACTCGTCTAATATGCTTTGCTGTAAGATTCCGTAGCTATATTCCAATGGTACTTTTTCTTTGTCAGAATGATTTATTAACAATAACACTTAGAAATTTATTATCCTGTACCTCTTTACATTTTGAGACACGGCTATCTTCTCAAGTCGTGTGTGAGCCACGTCTGTCAACGGGGCACTCAGGCACTCGCCTGACGATGACCAATGTCCGGAAGCACAGACTTCAACTTCTCCAACAGTCTCGAATCTCACGGATTACAATATACACTCCATTAAATGCAGAGCGCAGCAGACGAAGGCAGAAACGTATTAATAATTGCCAAAGGCCGAAAGAGCACCTCGATTGGAACGATAAGGCTATAAGCCGAAAAGCTAAAGAGCTCGAATAACTCAAATACTGTTCGATCCAATCTTCTCTAATATAAACGCTCAATAACCAAAAGATAAGATAAGGTCTCCCCTCGTCCACTCTCGTCTCCGAATATATACATACATATACCTCCCAGAGATCGCGCGGTTATCTTTGCTAATGTTGCCGGGAATGTTGCTTACAACAGATGGCAACACTAACCCTTTCCCGCGATCTGATATCTTACAACTCGACCATTCTGATAGATCCATTCGTCTCGAATGGGTTGCAAGAAATATACAAAATATATATATGTATATATATATATATATTTTTACTAATTATACAGTGCACCACCGCCAGATTGGCTGATGGTTAAACCAGTGAGCCTCAAAAGAAAAAGAAAACCTTGAAGGTAAGTATACCTATACATATATGAATGAAGAAACGCGTAACAAATGGCGTGACCCAAAATGCGAATAAATTTTTTTTTTTTTTCGACCAACAGAAAAGCCATATAATCTACTGCAACCTTCCTTCTCCGAGACTGTCAGGCGGTAAGATCGGTTTGATCCACGGTTTAATTTTATCCGAGGATAAGATAGAATTATAAGGTTTAGACGTTATATTAAACCCTGGAATATCAGTGACCACGTAACGATTGTTGTTTAATATCTTAGCAATTTGATATGGTCCTTTATATTTGGACTTTAGCTTTTTGTTACTTCCGATCTTTGAGTGACTATCTCGGACAAGAACGAAATCGCCTTGTTTATACGCCGTAGGCTTTCTGTGACGCGCATCGTAACTAGACTTGTTATATTCTTTAAGTTGATTGGTTGCTTCCAAGGCCATGTCTCGGGTGGACTGTCTTACTTTCTCAATATCTTGATCTATATGCTTAAGCATATTAACGAAATTATTCAAATCGCGATCTCGGTGGTTCCTTTGATCGTAACCGAGTAACACCTTACTAGGCGTGGCCTTGATAGCCGAATGATGTGTGTTATTAACGATGTACTGAACCTCGC